GCTTTGGAGAGTACAATTAACAGATTCAATGATAGTTTTAGCATGTTTCCTTCTTTCTGTCTTTGTTTTTTTTCTTTTTAAACTTCAGTTCATTGTAACAAATGTTTTTCTTCAGTATCGCTGTGTAACTGTTGCCTCATCACATCAGCCTTTTTCAGCTCTGGTCAGCTGCAGTCGGCGCTACGGTTTTAGATAACGGCATGTTGGCAAAGTTTGACTTGGTTCAGTGTTAAAGATTCCAAAGGCCTAATCATAGAACAAAAGATGGCTTGTGAATACAGGTATAGTTTTGAAGAATCTGAAGCCACTAGTAAAGTTAGAGAACAGATACACAACACCAAAAAGATAGAGTTGTGTTAACTGCCTCATGCTTGTAAAATATTAACTGTATCCATGTTGTACTTGATTTATTATACAGACCGAGGGCTTCAACAGACACATTCTTTTAGGCTTACACACTAACCTGAATAAAGAGCCATCTTTATTTATTCTTTTAGATGTTGGAGTTTTCACTTTAGCACTATAGTTTTGCAGTTTAATATGTAAACCTTTCTTTCCATTTCGTACTGTGCTGCGAACAGCATGCAGTTCATCAAAATAAAATTACTAAAATGAAAAGGTCCCTTTGCTTTTTGTGTAATGAATTTTTTGATTAATCAACTAATCTGTAAAGTAGTCAACAGACTAATCAATAAAAGAGGAGTTGTGGCAGTCCTAGACTGCCCCCTAAATGCCTCACATGTTGACGTCACAGTTTGCCAGTGTTCGGTAAACGCCTCACATGCGTTGGCTTGGTGCTTGCTAACCGCCTGTGCACAGAGAAGCTTCTAGTCTCCAGTCAGTTGCTGAGCTTGAAAAGAGTGAAATAAGGCTTTTAAATTATCTTAGCTGAAATTGAATGATTTTGTCTGCTTGGGTGGTTCGGTCAGAGACAGATCTGCTAAATGTCAGCCGCACCGATGTGACCAATAAAAATGCTTAGTTGCACTTGACAGATTTTTGATCGCATGTGCAACCAGAATAGTTGCACTCTGGAGTACAGTGCGTACAGTGTGTGTATATCTTGGAAGTGGAAGTCCACCTCCACACACATATATACACAAACCTGATCAGGGAAGAACTCCAACAGGAACGGGCCCAGAAGAATTATGCCCAAGCTCTCTGGATCCAGCTTGCTCTTGACCAGACTGACACTGAGGCAGAAACAGAGATATGAAGTTAATAAAAAACATAAGCAGAGCAAAACAAAATCAAGAGAGACATCCATGAAAAAAACAGGGAGATTAAAAAAAAAAAAGTGGCCAGCAAGGCAGGAACCATTGGCACAAAACAACAAGCCTTATGTATGAAAACCAAATTTACCATCACCTCATCTCTCATGTTTTGGTGAGTGCGTGCATGTTTTCACGAATACTGTGGTACAACTAAATATACCTCTCTCCAGACATTCCTACGTGTTAGATCAGTGTTATTATTATTCCACTGTGATAAAAAAAATCAAAAAATCGAGTCAGATTGCCCTTTTAAGGCAGTGAGGAGAGAGGCGAGGGTTATACCCAGACAGAGAGAGAAGAGGATGGATATTTCTTCATCTGATGATTTTCTACAAATAGCACATGCAGCAGGGTTGACACTAACTCTGCTGAAGTGTCACTGAGCAACACTCCCTAAAAGCTTTAGATATCCTGCTGTGTAGGTGACATCTTGCACCCAACGGAGGAAGGTGTGATTAAAAGATCAGCCCCACAGGGATCAATATTATGAGTGAGTGACGTTGATGGGGATCGGAGGAGTTAGTCGTTTGTTCTTTCTACAATGCATGACTTCATCATATAAAAATTAGCACGAGATGATGGTGCGTGCAGAATGCCTACAGTGAGCATGCCAAAGTCATTCTTTGTGTCCAATCCATCTCCGTTTGGATTCAAATGCAGTCAGATGATGTTTGTCTAGGCTGGTTGTATCTATCAGTTCTAACTAGACGCTGACGTCTTTGTGAATTACAGTCACATGACAATTAAAGAGCTCTGCATCACGGGTTCTTTGAATATAATTACTTAAAGTCAATGTTTAATTTATTTGAACTGCCAGCGTGAGGACATCTGGGATTTCCTCTACAGATAATGACTGTGTCGAGACAGTAATGCCACCCAAGGCTATTTAATTGGCAATGAGGTGACACTTTTGCATCCTTGTCACACTGAGATGAAACAGCGTTATCATTTCTGAAACCGTTACGTATCACAGCCGAGTTTCTTTTTAAAAATGATTCGTAAAATTGGTCTAAAACAGTCTGAAAAAGTAGGAAGCTCATCTATTCATTTAGCATAGAAACTAGTTTAGACTCTATGATAAATCACAACACTTGATGTTTTTAAGATGCATGAGAAAGAACAATTCTGCCAAACCCTAGACGACAAATGATCAAGTCCTTGAGTTGAGTCAGTGCCCACAAAGACGGTCTACCACAAATGTAGCAGCTGACAGTCACAGGGTCACAAGATATGTAGAAATACTTAGTTACAGGCAACTTGAAAACAGTTTTCACTCATCTCTTCAGAACTTCTAAATATGCCTATTAAATCATTATGCCCACGCACTAAAGATGCAATGTTTTGTTTTTTTTTATGCATGCAGGAATCCCTGAAAAAAAAATCTCTTGTTGTGTGGTAAGAAATGAGAATCGGCTGTTTGCACTGGGAGTCTCCCATCAGTTTGCTTTGTTTTGTTGTGATGTATTGGCCATCTGGGGGTCTGCAGTCCAGATCAGTGGTCCAGTTACTGGGCAAGTCCCACGGCTGCAGCATTAGGGCTTACTGCTCCTCAGAGGAGAACGTGCTTCTGTTTGAAGCGGCGCTTTAAAGCATTTCCTCGATCTCTCCGTCTTTCTTCCTGCTGTTAATGATCTCCCTCTAAGCCGCTGTTTCTGTCTTTATTTCTTTCTTTCTTTCTTCCTCAGCTTTTATAGTTGGCTCTCTCCGGACTTACTTTATAGCGGCCTGGTAGTGAAACATGAGCACGGGGCTGCTGACCTGGCCTGGCCGTGACTTTGGAGTTAGAACTCTAGAAGCTCTACAGGTGCCACATGCACAAACTAAAACACACACACACACAAACACAAAGCCTTGAACATGCGAGCACTTACTACTCGGGCTCTGAGACGAGGTCAAGAGCTTTCATCACGTCCTCCAGCAGAGTTTCTGGTATGAAGCCATTATCTAGAGAGGGAAAGAGACAAAGAGAAATTGGCTGACCCTGGAGTGAACATAAAATACAGGCTTTAATTGAAAACCAGGAGAAGCCTTCACCTACACACATATGGCACAAGAACTATTTACATCACAGGCCCTGGGCAATGAACTCATCTGACACAACTTACACACACACACCCACATACACACACACGCACACACACCCACACACACACACACCTTGTCGTTTTCCTCTGACCTACATTCCATGGCCGTGATGATTGCTTTACCTGAGCGGAGAAGCTTTAAACACTCACACACACACACACACACCTTGTCGTTTTCCTCTGACCTACATTCCATGGCCGTGATGATTGCTTTACCTGAGCGGAGAAGCTTTAAACACTAACATGTGTTTTTGCCCAATTCTGTCTGTCTGGGCACTCGCAGTTCATTCAAACATCAGCATGTTAGCATGTGTGGTCTGTTGTTTAGATACATACATAAACCCCGAGTGTGTTGTGAAGAAGATTAACTGACAGGCGCGCTGCTTGTTCGCTCCCAAGCAACTCAATCTTTCCTTTTCAAAAACAGATGTTATTCTCTCGGAGCGACAATTGATGGTGTGACAGCGAGCGGAGAGGACAAGCACACAGCATAACACGACGCAGGGACAATGACAAACAAATATTAACGCACACGCTGAGACGGTGGAGTTGAGCGTTGTGAGTCAGTATCGTGCGTGTGAATGTGGCTGGCGCCCCTTTTCCACAACACAGGGGGGGGGCTGTGCTGACTCTACATGCGACACAGACAGATTTATGGCCCTTTTACACAGCACTCAACTGCGATTGTGTGAATATATGTGCCGTGTACAGTTCATTCTCCTTTCATGTGTTTAAGTCGGCGGGTGCACCTACTGTAGCTCACAGTAGTTTGTGTGCACAAGTGTGTGTGAGAAAAGACCATATGGTATGCAGAGTGTACTGGGAGACGATAGCAGAAGTGGATTTGACAACAAGCAAAGTGGTATTCTGTGCAACAGGAGGAGACAAATGAAGAACAAGGAGAAAACAGATGACAGTTATGTTTACATATTTGTTGTCGAGGCTGTCGGAGCCGGCAAGACTACTTTCAGCTGGCAGGATTTATCTCATGGTAACATCGCATTGCACCACATACAAAGCGATATGCAGCACATGTTCCTACAAGCTAGATAGTGAATGATGATGTTTACAGCAACGCAGAGCAGCACCACTTCATTTCACAATAAAAAGACATAAATATGAAGGCATGTGTTACAACTGAAGATTTACTCAGGTGCTGAGCCAAACACTACTGCAACATGTGCAGCTCCAAAGCCCCTTTCAGAAACGCACTTCTTTCTCTACATCTGACAGCAACTGAACAAGTTGGCCTAATGTCTGAATGTGCTCCTTGCTCATTTTTCTATAAAGGGCGCAATGGTAAACTTACTAGGCCAGACCGAGTAACATTTCTGCATTACTGTCAACACAAGTCTGAACTGCGTGCAGCTGCATTAATTGACAGCACGCACAAGAAATGCACTTTGAGTTGTGTGAAATGAGAGGATATTTCTACATTTCAACGCCAATACTGGTCCAAAAACATCATATACCATGCAAAGGCACTTTCTGTACCTTTCTCATTCACATTTCCCTACAATTCCACATCCATTACAAACTGAAATGTCCATAAAAATAAAAGTTTATTAAATACCTGCAGCATCAAACAGCCGTAGGATCTATATGAGCGCCTCCAAGGAGAAGCAGCAGCACGCATTTACACATATGGCACAACAGCAGCAACTTCATTAATTATTTATAATTCCAAATAATCCCTGTCATGGAGACATGACTAATCCAGGGTCTCACAGCAGGTCACACGGTGTACGTTTCTTCACCTCAGACAGGTGAACTGTCACAGCTGCTTAAGGTCGAGTCCTGTGTCTTTCCTAGACTAAAGAATACGCAATGTTACAGATCCCCTGTTTGAAAAGAGCTTAAGTGTGATGATAACAGTATACACTCATGCATTTTCATGTCTTGGGAGTAAATCCTGACTACTCTGCATCTGTCTCGCCCGTATCCAAGCAGAGAGAAAAAACATGACACAACAGATGTTAAAGCTAAATTTTTCATTTCAGTGCTCTTTCTTGTCTCAGCGCTCACGAACACACAAACAAACATCACACGCTTTAAAGCATCAGACTGTCACTTCTGGGGACACGCCAAACAAGCTTCACTTAATCTTTCTATGTGTAACTATCGGTGTCCTCCTCGTCACCTTTTACCCCGGTCACCTGGAAGTGACAGGAACGGAGGTTTAGGAAGACGAGGAAGAGCGGGAAGAAGCCGGATGGTTGACTCAGCTGTCAGAGGAGCTGATCTCTCCAGCTTAAACAACAACAGTGGAGATGAGAGGAGAGAAACAGACCCTTGTTCCCCCTGAAGAAGCAAATAACAGGGAAGAGAACAGCAAAGCAAAGGCAAGGAGGGCCGTGGAGGCTACAAATGCATCTGTGACTAGAATAAAGGGAGGAAAGAAAAAAAAACAAAAAAAACTGCAGGGCCGGGATGTTGTTTTCTCAATTTGTGCATGTAGCCGCGTTAGAGTCAAAGTTTGGATTAATTAAAGCACATCTGAGTGCCAGGATTTTTCTGTAGCTGGTGTGCTAATGAGCAAACAAAGCACGATGCTCCATGAAAACATGTAGCGGGTGAAGGGCGGAAGATACAAACACTTAATTTTTCATTACCTTCGGGATCAAATGACTGGAAGACCCTCCTTGCCTGTTCTGATGGAGACTCTGGACCTACCAGTGACATCTCCTATTGAGAAGAAAGGAGAAATAAAAAAAAAAAAAGAGAGAGAGAGACAAAGAAGGAGAAGAAGGAAAAAGTTAGAAACCGTGTGTTTTATCCAAAAGTGACGTCATAAAAGATTTGTGTGAGGAACAGTGGATGCAGGAGAGGAAGACTTAGATCACATTGCCAGAGAATGTAGCTTCATCAGTGCTGAAACATTAGAGCTGCTTAGTGCAGGGAGAGGAGAATCATCTACATCTGCTCACAACTTACAGATTGTGATGGATACTGCCAGGATTTAGCAGCAAGTAATGTGCAACAAACTATACAAGACATGCAGCCAACCTACAGTACCAATCACAGCACTGCTAATGCACATTAAGCATCTGTGTGTGACTGTGTGCAACCTAAGGGGCTGTTGCAATCACCAGAGTCCACTGGGTTATTAACTGATCTGCTGATAAAGATAGACGGCTTGTTTTCAGTCCAAACACACAATCAGGAAGTCAAGTCTTACATACATCAACTGTGATTTATGAATAGCTCTACAGTGTTTGTTTGTTGGTAAAGTTTAGGGAGAGAGAGAGAGAGCAGCGTTGGCAGGGATTGCAGAATTGAGTAGGCGAATATATGCATCTCAAAGAGGGAGATGCTTTTTAGGACGGGCTTCCAAAGTACATGCTGATTAAATGAACTCTTCATTAGTCTCTCTTCACTAAAAGCCTCAGAATGCTTCAAACTAAATGCTTGTTGGATTGCCAGTATGTGAAACAGTCTATTCTTCCCGCTACAGCTTTCCGGTGCTTTTTCTATGACATGAGGAGCAGAAGAATTTGACAATGTTGCCCACCGCATGCAGCCACAATCCAGGTGTGCAGAGGTGATAAAGCAGGTAAGGTCTGGATTTGTTTTCACACATTCACTCCTTGAAGAGAGATCAGGGCAGCAGGATGACTCAGCCAAAAGGACAGGACAGCAGGCTTTTCAGTGCGGCTGTAGCAGGTCTCCACTATTTTTACCTTCAGACGTGGTTGGATCACATGCTCGACAAATAAAGCTAGTTTAAAGCATACTGAGCCCACAACACCATAAAACCAGAGACTTGTGACAGATCTCGGGATAGGAGTGTCCTCTCACGTCCTGTCTTATCTTATTTTGTTTTTAATTTGATATTTTTAATCGTACTGTCAGATCTTGTGAAGAGCTTGTAGCAGGTTTAACCCTGTGAACCTCGGAACCTGCCGGCAGTTTTGACAGGCATGTTATTTTGAAAAATTACCCAAATTACACCATTTATCATAGCGAGAACCTGCATGAACAGGGAAAATCATGGGATTTACGACCTTCTGACTGTCCCTGAAACTATCATGTGTCACTTGTGGTTTTATCTGAAAGCTCAATAAATCACTCCACATGTATAACTATTAAAATCTGACAGAAATAACATGTTTGTAGTAGCTACATTTTGTAAAAAACTAAAAATTCTACACTGCTCCGCACAACCAGGAAGCCATGAGAGGACGAACTGTGACAAACAGTCGCGTGACAAAAATTCTGGGACTATTGGCTGAACTGCAGTTTTCACAAAGTAGATAGGAAACAATTATGGAACATATTATAGAAACACATTTAAAGTGTAAGTCGTGAATTATCTATGTGTGTAGAAAAAGTATTATGAGGACTTGTGGATGCTTGGAAAATATTGCATACGATAATTATAAATGTTCCCGTTTTTACCGATTTATGGCAATATATTTGTTATCGGGCACAAAAACTCATATCTGAATTATTTCTATTTCTAGCCATGGTTGTGCTGTTTCCATAAAGGTGCAGGACTTTATATTGAAGTGAGAAATGAGCGCACAGTGAAGAAAAATCCCAGAAACTGCTCTAAGTTCAGAGGGTTGACAGCTGAATAACTACGGGTTTCTGATAAGTAACACTGAAAAGCGTTGAAAAGCTCAGGAAATAGAGGGCATATTTTTCCAAGAAGACACTTCTCAAAAAGATGGCTTTTCAGCCTCAGATATGTGTAGGCAAGAGTCAGAGGGTTCTCGCTGTTCTTCTATATGAGCGAGCGAGGGAGTGTATTTATGACAACGAATCACTGGACAAACACACAATGTTTTTGGAGAGCAAATGAACCCTGCTCATCTCCTTTAGCTGGCCTTTATTAAAGCTTGAGCCTCAGATCCACACAGGCTGCTTGGGTTTCACGGCCCACTTATTACTGTACTTGGGGCTTACTTGAGGAGAGAGGGGGGTTCAGGGGGACACATCAAGAGGAGATGACTCCCAGCTGCAGGCTCTTCAGATGCAAAGAAAAACAGTCGCACACTAGCGAACACGCGCTCGCACACTGTTCTGTCACACAGAGTATGGCAGGGGCCTGATGTGTTAACATTACAGGCTCCATAAATCTGACAGAAGATTTGTCATTAGCTAGATATGTCTGTGTTTCACTTACGAGCTTGGACAAGTGATCCCAGAGGAATAAAGTGCTGAAAAAGTTCCTTACAGTTGACTGCATGTCCGTATCGGGAAACATGAGCTGTTTTGATAAACTGTAATTATGCCTTACACCTTAACTAAGAAAATATCCTAAAGTGATGAGAGGCTTAATTAATCTTAGGCTTCAGCTAGAAATCCAATGAGCCTCATGAACTACAGCTCAGCTAACATCGTTTATTATCTTCCAGGACACAATAGACTCATCCGTTGTAAATCACCTGGTAATCTCATGATTATAGGACGTGGACACTTTAAAGGCAGACAAACACTCTTAAATGGTCATCAACAGACTAAACAATACATGTTATTCTGACTGGTCTATACATGTGCACAGAAATGAGTGGACAAGACAGTGACTCATGTGAACATAGGATCATGCACATGCACACGGACACATAAAAGCAACAAAAATGACGTGACTGTGATTGCCTGTGTGTGTGTGATGACAGGTCTGCTTGGTTTTCTTTGATCTCTGTTTTATTAGAGGCCTGAGGAAGATGCCGCTGAGTTGGAAAACATGTCATGGAGCTAACAGACTCTGCGGGGAAGTGTGTGCCTCAGCGTTTCTACCCGCTCACCGTGTTGCAGTTTGTGTGAATTTTTGTGTGAGTGATTAGGCTTGTACAATGATAAAATGTATTTGCTTATACGAGCGTACAGTATTTTGTTCTCTGGAGAGCTTGTGCAGACACGGGGTGAAATGACAAGAGCAAAGTGCTGCACCGACGCAAGCGCGGCTTATGAAATCAAGCAGCGCATTCCAGACTCTGCAGTCAGACCTTTCTGCACAAACCCTTGACCCCTGTAAAAGAGCAACAACAAGCTACACAAAAGGAACAAAGCAAGAACAATACACACAACTCAAAGACTTAAATACACAAAGTAATGCAGAACATTTGCTCCAAGCTAAACCAGAATATATTGAAATTAAACATGTCCTTGTCAACAATTTTAAATGACCAAACAGGCTTTGGATCAATCAGAAGTGTACGTGTATTAGGGCAGCACGACAATGGAAAACAATGACATGTTTTGTTTTTCTGCAATATATACTGCGATATGAAAAAAATAAAAAATTAGTAATTTTCACCAGATGACTTCAAAAAGGAAATTTGGAAAGAATTAATCATTTTTAGAATGATTGAAGGGGTTTTGTCGGGGAGTGCATCTGCATTGGAAATCTGGATAAAAGCTGTCTCATATGCTGTAACACTGACAAAGGCATCCAAAATAGTTCTTTGTTTTGGGTGGCATTCAGATCTGGTTTCGCACTCATTATACAGATCTTTGGGGCGCTGATTTACACGCTCAAACAAATTAGTTGTGTTGCTTCGTGTGATGGCAACAATTGCGAGACACTGCTGACAGAATACCTGTTTTTGGTCAACATCGTCCTTTTTGTTGTTTCCAAACAACAGAGGTCTTTGTCATGGTGACCGGTTGCTCGTTAAACCCCGACAATGCTCTCTGCTCGCCAATATAGAGCTGCTCATAGTTTGAACGACAGTATTAAAACACAAATAAACTGCACTCTTTATTTCATTAAATCGCAGGAGGCCACCAGGTACGACAGCTAATGTGGAACAAATTTTTTTTTAACATGCATGTCCTTCGTCTTCTGCCTTATTGGTTAATATATCAATGCAATGACTAAAGGCAATAAATCAAGTAACTATTAACCATTACTTTTTTGCAACCAAATCCTACTTGTCAGTGTTCCTCGCTCATCCTGCTGTGCACATGTTGAGCTTGCATGTCAACAAACTCCACATCTTGTCAATAAAGTAAAGAACTGTTAAATCCTCATTTTGTTTTATTGGATCTCTCTTGTGGATAAGTCAAGGAAAATGAGACCCGTGCAAGTTTTCGTTTGGTATCAAGCAGCAAAAAAAAAAAAAGAGGTAATTTTCCTCATTTCACGTCTCATTTCCTACATGGTGACTGTTGTGCACACTCACGTCACAATGTCGAGGCTAAAACAATATACTGTGCAGCCCTAATGTGCACGAGTGTCTCTGGAGTCAACTGACATGCTCAGACTTGCACCACTGCAAAACATACATAACGTACAATGCAGTATATGTGTGTTGTCTTCTTTTCTTGTCACCAGATCAGATTTATTGCATCATGCTCTTTTTTTATCACTTGTTCCATGTTGAGGAAGGTGGACAGACCACTGCCGAGACATTCACCTCTGTTCGACTGCACTTTTGCTGCTCTCTGGTCACCAGACCGAGAGGCTCTCTTAGGTTGACAACTCATTCCCCTTCTTCCTCTTTCATTCTTCCTCTTGCCTAATTTGCCCCTATTTACCTACCATTTCCTGTGCTAAGTAGGTACTCCAGTTTTGGAGTATTTCCTTCCCTTCCACCCTCAACTTTTTGTTCCATTCTCCCTTCCACCTTTCACTCTTTATCTCAACATGCAGGTAGCTACTTCAGGTAAGACAGGTAGGCACAGCACTTTACTAGAATTACTTTTTCTTTCCCTGCAGTCCACCCAAAGAGCTATTG